GAGAGCCAGGAGAAGGACACCTCCTGGTAGGAAAGTCCAGGTTTTCAAGGAATAGATACATGGCATGAGACCCCTTCTCAAGAAATACCTCTCCAGAAGCCTATTAGAAATTTGTGTTTGGGGAAGAGGAAGCAGCAAGGAAGGCTCAGAAAAGTAAAGAAGGTGCTCAGAAGTTTTCTGTATATAGACAGATAGAGGTGGTACAAAAAACCCCAAATGGATAAAAAACCCTTTTGTGAGTAAACATAGACCAGAAATTAGACGGGTATGTCACAGACATCTTTTATGGAAAATCCTTTCCTTAGGATTTTTCCTCCTGAGAAGCTGAGTGGCCTCAGGAACAAAATGTAAACAATGATTATCTGCTGCTGTGGAATGCAACAGGTGCATCTGGGATTGGTCTCATGTGGTTGTTTGTAATTAATGGCCAATCACAGTCAGCTGGCTCAGACTCTGTGTCTGAGCCACAAACCTTTGTTATCATTCTTTCCTGTTCTATTCTTAGCCAGCCTTCTGATGAAATCCTTTCTTCTACTCTTTTAGTATAGTTTTAATACAATATATATGATAAAATAATAAATCAAGCCTTCTGAAATACGGAGTCAGATCCTTGGGTCTTCTCTCATCCTCAGACCCCTGTGAACACGGTCACAGGGGTTTTTAGCCAGCAGAACAATGGAGTTATAAAACTGCCTTCTATGAGGAGCAAAACAAAACTTGGTTTTCCCCAGATCTTGTTCAGTTTCTCAAAGGGATCACTATTTATGTCAGCAAGATATGAGGGGTCCACAAAAAGACCTTCACAGATGCCAAAGATGTTAATCCCGAGAGAGAGAATGTCATTAACCTGCATTTGTTCTGGCCTCTTTGCTAATCTGAGGAGCTGCTAATCAACAGCTGTAGAAGAAGAATCTTTATTAAATCCTATTAAATTGAATGGGCCAAACAGCAGAGAAGACTTGTGATCTTTGATGTCCATGGCAGAATTTAGAACAGTGCATTTCCTTTGTACAAGTGTATTATGATCAATCTAATCAATCCCAGGGAATTGATTATTTTTTTATTCCCTCTGGAATAAAAAATAAATTTGCAAGTACAGCTAAACATTAGCCTTCATTTTACTTTCTCTGTTGTGTGAGGGTTACATGGGATGGAAAGCACCTACTTCAAAAGCCGTTCCTTAATATTTTCCTGTAATACAAGCATGGGCCAAATGTATCCTTACATCTTGTGCTCTATGTCAGAGAGCTCAATAAAGGAGAAATTTATACACCTGGAATTCAAAGTGATTGCTTCCCTTTTCCTGATTTTGGTAGCCTGGATTGACCCAATGGCTTGAGAGAATCTCATGTTGAGTTATACTGCAGCACAGTGTATAGTTAAGAGCTTTGCAAAATAATAATATAGTTTTTCTAGTCACTTGCCATTTAGAGTTTAAATTGCTAAAAAAATGAAGATGTTTTGGCCTTAGGATATTCCTGGTTTACAGGATCTGATGATAGGAAGGACATGAACAGAGCAATTTTATTCACTTGGGTGAAATCCAAATCCTGCAAACTGCAACGCAAAACAAGACCCAAACAATTGTTTTTAGGACTCCTCTGCAAAGAGACAAGATGTCCCTTTGACCAAATAAATAAAAAAACCCTAAATTTTTTCAGAAGACAGTGCCAAGCCCAGGACAAAAGGAAAGTCCCTGTGAGCAGTTCTGTTGGAGCCAGGCTGTGTCTGGCTGAGGACCCCTGTCACCCCGTGCCATCCTCTCTGCCCCCCTGAGGCCCACCGAGTGACGCACCAACAATTCCCACCAGCAGCGGGGAATTTTCCTCCAAAAATGGCCTAAAAGCCAAGAGGAAGCTCCTGTACCTGAGCATGGCATAGGAAACTACTCTTGGACAAGATGGGTGCTTGGGAAGGGTGAAACATTCAAGAGAAATGGACAAAGCTCTGTTGGGATTGTTACTAAATCCCAAAATTATCATGTAGGGTGAAGCCTGATGCCTGTTTTCTATGTTGAGAGCAAATTCCTTTCAAGTTTAGCTTCTGAGGTATGCCACAAGTATTTCCTTTGCCATCCTCACCACTATTGTTTGTTGCTAGTTCCCTTCGTGCATCATAACTGCAATGGGGCAATAAAAGTTTTCACAGCCACGCAACAGATTTCTGTGCTGGAGGAAACGAAGGAAATCATTCCAGTGAAAAAGAAAAAAGAGGTTTTGTGCAAACAAACAAGTTCCATAAGCTGTGTTAGTACAGGATAAATCAGAACATGAGATATTAGGGGTGATTTGTAAACAAAGTAAGCAACCACAACCAAACCAGACCTTCCAAGATGACTGGAAACAAACTTAAAACACTAATCCTACAGGCCTTTAGGGCCAGATAAAGAAAGCTTAAACAACCACTTCAACTCCACAAGACTCTCTAAGCCTCATTATCCTAACTAGGCACTGAATTTATCACTTTCCCTGCCTGTCTTGAAAATCCCAAACAGCTGAGGCAGGAGCTTGGTTTCTACTTAAACCCCTTCACAATTTTCATCCCTCTAAAATTTAGTCAGTAAGGGTTCAACGCCCTAGGGCTCTGGGCACTTTTTCTTTTTCCCTTTCCAGATTTGCTGTTGCTCTGTGCACAAACAAGGTAACTAACAACAGTTTCTGAAATAACCAAATGCTTGAATTTTTTAAATTAAGGTTTATTGCAGTGAATAAATTAGCTCAGGAAGCAGCTATAATTGTAAAGTAATCAATAATAGTCTAACTAACCACTAGTCTAATAACAAAATAGTCTAACTAGCCACCAATTTACATTTATCTTTGCAGTGTCTCTAAATACTATATTTAGATGATATGTACTCTGTTTTACTGATGTTTTTCATTCTATTTTAAATTATATAGCATTTTGTGTATTTAGGGAAAGTATTCAAGTACTAGTTTTAGAATTTAAAGCTATTGTTGATGAAGAAATTAATTTCAACAATAACTTAACTATTTGTATGCATGAAAAGAATAAAATCGTTTAGTTAAAAGTGATCTACAATGTAGCAAAATGTAGTTATGTGGAAGTGCCTGATGTCTTGAAGTTTTAAAAAAGTTCTAGTCTTTAAAATCTGAAATTTGCCTGATTTTGGAGTAAGCACTTTGCGAAAAATGCGTATTTTATGATTGGCTTTCGGCAAATATTAAAATGAATATTATATGTGTTGTGTTAGAACGTTATGCTGTATTCATTCTCTTAAGTAGTGTGTTACATATAGTTTTAGGTTATAACAAAATGTTAAAATACAAACTATGCTATGTAGGATATTTTTTTTTCTAAAGAAAGGACTAGCACTGAGATAGCAGCCACAGGGCACTTGAATCTTTCAGAGAGAAAGAATTTATTGCTCCATTATCAGAAGAAATGAACTTCTTCCTGCCTCGCTCAGGCAGGATGACACCGTCAGGATTCAGAGGAAAAAGCTGACACTGCCCAGACAGAATCCTGTGTTTGAATGGAATTTATGCATCATGGATTAGGTGTATGAATATGCAACAGGCTGTTGTTTTTAAGGGTTAATCCTCTGTTAACGTGGGTCCTTTTTCTGGCTTATTTTGCCCAGAAAAAGGTACCCGGACATCCATAACGCTTTGTTTCTATTGTCTCATATTGTCCTAATTGAAATTGTCCAAATTATTACTACTCTAACTGTATTACTATTTTTATAACCATGTTATTACTATTAAACTTCTAAAATTTTAAAAACAAGTGATTGGCGTTTTTCACAAGTCTATGCAAAATACTTCATTTCTCTGCTTTTGGTGCTTTGATGATCACAGAGGAGCTCAGGTAAAAGCAGAGTTTTATTGCCATGAGGGGTTTTGTCAGGTGGAGACCCCGAGGTCAGATGACCTCAGTCCCAGGTCAGAAGTTAAAATATTAATTATATTGGTTTAGTGCTTCTCTTGACTTGGGGATTTGTTGTCAGACTCTGTAACAGAACCACCTTAGTGTTTTACTGAAACCAGAGAAATGGTCATTTACTTCTTCTTAAGCAGATGCTGTGCTGCTATTCTTAAGGCTGGATGTGGTGTGAAAAACACCAATCACTTGTTTATAAATTTTTTTAAAGTTTAATAGTAATAAAATGATTATAAAAATAGTAATACAGTTAGAGTAATAATAATTTGGACAATTTGAATTAGGACAATATGAGACAACAGAGACAAAGAGTTACAGATATCTGGGTACCTCTTTCTGGGCAGCATAAGCCTGAAAAAGGACCCACGTTAACAGAGGATTAACCCTTAAATGCAACAGCCTGTTGCATATTCATACACCTCATCCATGATGCATAAATTCCATTCAAACACAGGATTCTGTCTGGTCAGTGCCAGCTTCTTCCTCCGAATGCTGACGGTGCCTTGGAGGCAGGAAGAAGTTCATTTCTTCTGATAATGGAGCAATAAATTCTTTTTCTCTAAGATTTAGGTGTCCTGTGGCTGCTATCTCACTGAGAGTCCTTTCTTTAAAGAAAGTATCCTACATAGCATAGTTTCTATTTTAACATTTTGTCATAACCTAAAACTATATTTAACACACTACTTAAGAGAATACAGCATTACTTCCTAACATAACGCATATAATATTCATTTTAATATTTGCGAAAAGCCAATCATAAAATATGCATTTTTCACAAGGAGCATCAAGTAAAAGCAGAGTTTTATTGCCATGAGGGGTTTTGTCAGGTGGAGACCCTGAGGCTCAGATGACCTCAGTCTCACGTCAGAAGTTAAAGTATTAATTACATAGATTTAATGCTTCTCTTGATGTGGGGATTTGTTGTCAGGCCGTAATAGAACCACCTTGGCGTTTCATTGAAACCAGAGAAATAGCAATTTATTTCTTTTTAGGCAAATGCTGTGCTGCTATTTTTAAGTTTGTATGTGGCTACACAAAAGTGACCTGCAGAAGTGCAGCTTTGCAATTTGACATAATGACAGAACTCGGCTCGTTTTTACCGGCGGGCACCTGAAGGCGCCCACAGCCGCTGCCGCCCGTCCCCTCAGGGTGGGCCGCCCCCAGCCCGTCCCGCCTCACGGCCGCCATGGCACCCGCCCCGCCCCGCGCCTTCCCGCCCTCACGGCGGCAGCGCCATGGCGGCCGTGCGGGACGTGGAGATCGACCCTGAGGGCACCTTCAAGTACATCCTGGTGCGCCTGCAGCGCCCGGGCGGCGGCGAGCAGCGCGACATCGTCCGCGGCACCAAGGCGGCTGAGTTCCACAGTGCGTGACAGCCCGCGGGGCCGGGCGGGCAGCGGGGCCCCGCCGGCGGTGGGACGCGGCCGCCGGACCCCGGCGGGTCTGAGGCGGAGCGGGAGCCCTGCCCTAAACAGCTCAAAAATCCCCTTTTCTCCACTTCCTGCGTCCCCCGGGTGATAGGAAAATTTGGGGCTATATATGTCATGTGCTGTTTCGGAGCCCATTTGAAGGGAATGAGGAGGTGTCTTTGCAAACCGCGGGCCTGAGGGTAAATAAGGGCAAATATTGAGAGGCGCAAGAAGCAATGGAGGGGGAACCATAAATTCCTATGGAATTCCACTCATTGACACAGACTTGCTCAAGACTGTGTTAAATCCTTGGATGTGCAGAAAAAGAACAGAGACAAAAGGAGAAAAAAAAGGTGGGAGGTACACATTAGAAACGGAGTCTGTTAGGTGGCTGGGGAAGTCTGTACCTTTCAAGGGAAGGAGAGAAGAGAAAAAGTGATAATAAAAAGGAGATTGTGTCTTCTAACAATTTGAGAGACCCCCACGGGAAGTACCCATGACCTCTTCCCTCATTCGAATAAAGTTACAGGACTCCTCTGTATCCTTTGTGAACATAAACCTCTGATATTAGTGGATTAATTTTCCTGACAAAATCACCTTAATTTTGGAGAACAATATACTAAATAACAAACTAAACGGCTTTAACTGCAGCTGTTCTGTGCCTCTGAAGAGAAACCTCCCTGCCTCATAGGTGAAATAAGAAAGTAGCCAAAAATGAGTTCTAGACTATGTAATGCCTAGTTCCTGTTCTAATGTCTCTCACCATTCTTCTTGTGCAGATCATATATTTGAAAAAGTAAATCCCGAGATGGAAAAGCTGGGATATGAGTGCAAGTGCCTTGGAGGAGGGAAAATTGAACATAACAGCAAAGACAAGAAAATCAGGGTATTTGGGCTCTCAACAGTAAGTGCATCTTTCATTTTCCTTTAAATGCTTCTGTCTCTGATGCTGTGGGATTTCTAGTGAATAGCATGGTGGCTTTTGGCAATTTACATCACATTTTAAACATTAACTGGCAAACTTGCCTGGCTCACTTGTGAAATAGATTAGAAAAACAATCTTTTTAGGGCAGGAGAGCTGTGTTATTAATCTAGCTGCCAAATTAAGTGTTAGAGGCAGTGGTCAACTCGTGCAGTCTGAGAAACAGACCTTATCCTCTGCTTTTGGTGCCTTGATGCTCACAGAGGAGCATGAGGTAAAAGCAGAATTTTATTGCCATCAGGGCTTCTGTCAGGTGGAGACCCTGAGGCTCAGATCACCTCAGTCCCAGGTCAGAAGTTAAAATATGAATTATATTGGTTTAATGCTTCTTTTGACTTGAAGGTTTGGTGTCAGCCTCTAAACCAGAACTACCTTGGTGTTTTATTGAAACCAGAGGAATAGGCATTAACTTTTTCTGGAGCTGTGCTGCTATTTTTAAGGCTGGATGAGGTCTTCAAAGTGGTTGCCAAGGCAAGAGTGAGCCGTGGATCTGTTGCTTTCCAGCTGACATAACTGTATTATCTGTTATTTTTGAAAAGCTTGCATTTCATAATGCATCAACTTTGACCTTTTCAGTTTAAATGCTTGTTTATTTAAGCTGTTCCTCTTTGGGGCTGTCACTGATGAATAAGAGTATGTTTTGTTTGATAATACAACCTTGGACTCTTTTTTTTCAGTGTTCTAAGTAAACTTCCATGTGAAATGTTATGGGGGAAAAAAACCTGTAAATCAGAGATTTCTATCTGTGTACTGCACTGTTATGTGTAGTTCTGAAATAAGAAATCAAGATAACTCTGATCATGTAAGACAATAATGGAGAGGCCACTTGGACCACAACTGCCTTAAATTTCAGTGAAACAGTAACACTGTGACCAGTGATTTTTAAATCTTAAATTTTAGATTTTTAAATCCAAAATCTAAAGGGCTAAAAACCACATGGGCCATCTGACCTTACCTAGGAGCTGCAATGGCTGAAGAGCACAGATACTTAAAATTGTGCTATTATCAGCTGAGGCAGGATGGGAAATAAATAAAACATGAAGGCTGATTTCTTTAGTGGCCAGAGTAGTGCTCAAATGCTCACACTTGTTTGCTTATTCCCTTTCCCTTCAGCTGAGCCAAATCAGCTGTTTGTATGCTCACACATTAAAGTGGGTCAATGCAATCTCTGTGGTTTAAAGCAACATTCCATAAATACAGTGCCTGATGGGTTGGGAACATTTTAAAGCAAACTTTCTGCTGGAGAAATTGTGTAAAAAATGCATTTTATATGTGACTCTATCTCATTTATTTTCTGGAACTTCAGTTTGGGGAGGAGGGAAGTGGAGAGGATAATGGAAAAATAAAACATAATACTGCAAGAGTATCTATTTTAGAACTTTTGATTCGCATGTGAACAATTTTGTGCTGATAAGAACTGAATGGTTCTGAAGACTCAATGTCCATGTGCAATTTGTTCTGTCTTGCAGGGCTATGGAAAAGCAGATCACTCAGTCACTGTAGAGATACTGAAGAAAGAATATACAGATTATGAAATTACATGGTCAGATGACAAGAAATAATCTTGTGAGCACAATGAGCAGTTCCAACCTGGTAAATGTGAGCTGCACTTTGATAAATAAAATTGAATGTGTGTTCTATGTGTGCAACCATCCATCTGGAGTGAGTGGACTCTGTCATAGTTTGTAATATAATCCTCAGATGTGTCTTATTTTTTAGATCATTGTGCAGAATCTGGAGTTCTAACCCTTTTTCCTTCCCTTTTCATGTGCCCTTTAGTTAAACACCCCCACACCACCTTACCTCTAATTTGTTTTCATCCAGACCCATTTCACTGATCTATTGTAGGATACTTCAAACACCACTGGGTCAAACCTGTTCACTGGTCTTCAGTGTTATCAATTTGTTTTTCCATTCCTTTTTAGGCTTTTCATCTTTCTTACCCACATTTTTAAAAAAAATTGCTGTGGAGGGTGCAGTTGACTGTTACAGTTCTTCAATGATCCAAATCTTTAATTTACTCAGTGATTTTAAAATCTAGTATTCTGCAGAAGTAATGATGAAAATATTTGATTTTCCTGTAAGAACCTTCCCTAGAACAGATTGGTGGCAGTGTAAAAATTCTGCTTCTTTCATTCTGATTCCCCTGGACTGCTTTGATTTGTGTGAATTTAATAATGCTTTTTTTTAAATTTTCTTAGCAGTAATTATTTTAAACTACCTCCTCAGTACACCTAGAAAAATGCCTGAATTGGCAAGCATCACCCTCTTGTTGTGACAGGATGTTGCCTTTTGTTTGTTGCAAATTTACTCGTTCGTTTTCATGCTTTTTGTTTCATGATACTTTTCATTTCATTCATTTGTGAATTTATTGACTTGCTGTCTTGAAGGCTTGCTGACTTCCAGAGGTAATTCTGGATGATGATATATTCTGGATGATGATATATTCTGGGTGATTGATATATTTTTCCCTTTTCTGTGGTTCCTACTGCACTTACCCAGCAGTATCTGGTGGCAGAGGGAAGCCTTTTCAGCATGCAGGTGATTCCAACAGTACAAACCAGGAAATCTGAGACACTTTAAGCCAGTTTCTATCACCAAAAATCCTGCTGTTACTCCCCTCTTACCGTTGTGATCCTTCTGTGCTTTTGTTTCAAGTTGTGGAGAGGAATTTTCTGTTCTCATCCTCAAACCTTTCACTCCAGTCCTCACCAGAGGAGTTCCAGGGTCTCCACCCCAATAATCTCCTCAGAGCAGAAATTTCTAAACCTGGTGCTCCAGGTCTCTTGGTTGGCACCACATTCCCTCACCTGCAGCCTGAATTTTCCCCTCCAGCATCCTTGCCTGCTTTTCCATCTGCTCTTTGTGCTTCTCTTGGAGTTCCTGGTTGTCTGGCTGCACTTCAAATATTGTGGTAATGATGACAGGATTGATTTTACTTAACAAGATTTTGATTTCAGTGCCTTAGAACCAAGAATAGCACACAAATCAGTAACCTGCAAATTGGGCACTTCCCAGTTCCATGATCAAGGGCTTTTTTTCCCCTAAGCTTTAGTAAAATAACTGTAGCTGCCAGTATACAGAGCTGAGTTTTAAATAGCCTCATTTCCCAAAACTGGCAAATAGTCTTCAAATGGAAGTCATCAGTTAGGGATAATTGTGTTAAAACAAACAAGCCTTTCAATTTAGTTTCCTGAGGTATTTAATGACTGATTTTAATCTTTGTTTCTACAATAGTTACAGGAAAGACATAACTTACACTGGATTTATTATTGTAATGACGTGTTCAAAATGTGAGGGGAGGAAAAACAGTGATGATTTGGAGTGAGCTGATCAAAATTGAGTTACCAGCTGATCTTTACCTTTTATTTCTTCATAGAAGAAAGATTTTAATGTGTCATAAAAAAAAAAAAAAAACTTAGAGGGACCTCCCAGTTCACTTATTTTTTTTAGTGCAATGTCATTTGAAGCAACTTGATTTCCTGGTCATTAAGGAATATGTACAAGTGTTACAAAGGAATGAAAAGTTTATTTTCTTCAATTCCAGTTTGTGAAGAGGAGCAGGACACTGGTTACTAGGGTGGTGAGGATTTCTCAGATAGTGGCAGCCTTAACATAAATAAGGGAAATCAGTATTATTTGAAGTTAAAACATCAACAACCTACAAAACTAAGTGTTGAATTCTGTTTCCTCTCAGCATGTACCTGCTGAATTCTAACAACACAACTCATCTCAGATATGGAAATCCCAATGCTAATGGTGCTGATTTTACCTGAGAAAAAGCATCTTCCATTTTCTAATCAGATTCTGAAATTGAAAGCTCATTATATTGTGTGGGGGTTATTTGTTTTGCAGGTGTGCAGTCACAATAAGATTGTGGCTCTGCCATTCTTCCCTTGAAGTCCTAAAAATTCTGATTCTGTATTTGCACAAAACCAGCTGTGTTTGAGCCAAATACTGAGTGAAGGCACAGTAATTAAACCAAAGATGGTGAGTTTGATAGTGGAATATTATCAAGAGGAGATATTGTGGAAGATTTTAAGTACCTTCTTCATTTATTCATCCAAAATTACATGATATTCTTGTTCTAACCATGTTCTTTGTCACAGAGGTCAATATTTTTTATTACTTGAGGTATGGTTCTCTGGAACTGCACTAGACTAGCAGGTGTAGAACAACCTACTCAGTGCAAGCCATGATTTATCTAAGAATTGAGTTTTAAAAATGACAAATAGTAACCCATTTGTTTCCAGCATCTGTTTTGGCAGAAAAAAGAATAAAAAGAGCTGTTAACAGCACCTCCTTGACTTGCCAAAGCTAAAACTTTTTTTGTTCCTCAGTCTGTAGTCAGCAGTTATCATTACTAAGTTTCAGAGTTGGTGCAGAAAAATTCCAAAGCACTGTGGCAGTCATGGCAAAACTGACTTTTTTCCTCTCCTATCCTAAGAGGCTAAATTCAGTAGTTTCCCAAGCATCCCTTCAAAACAGTAGTGAAGGCTCTTCTGTGAAGTACAGGAAATCCTTTACAACTCTCTCTTAATAGCAGCAGGTTCAAAATAGGAACCTTGGGATTGACTTTGGGCCCCTTCAGTGATGGAAAGGTGATGGCATAATTAAAGTGATTTATTTCACTGCTGTACTAAGTTCCTTTCCATCCTCTCAGACTGTTTCCTTCTGCTCTACACTGAAGATCCTTGCATCCAGTTCACAGCAGTGGTCACTGCCTCCAAATTTATATTTCTGCAAGGGCACATGATAAAGCAGCTAAGAGCTTTCTGTCTGGTTTTGGCCAGGACAAAACATGCAGTGGATTTCCTCTTTTTGTTTGAATTGCCAGTGAGTGCTCAAGGGTTTGTCTGCAGTCATTTCTTCAGCAACATCAGAGTCTTCAGCCTAGGGAAGTGCCTTGTATTTGAGGCTTTTCTGAGTGCTTCTGTCCTGCCAAACTGGGAAAATATTGAAGAGGTGTGGATGGATGTTCAGTAGTACCCCCAGCAAGTTTAGACAAAGGGGAAATTCATTTCTGGAAAAATCATGTTTAAAACAGTACAGCAATCTATTAAACTCCTGTAATAGCTTAGTTTCTCTCCTTTTCCAATTATCTCTAAAACTCAGTTCATCATCCTCCAGTATTTCATTTGTAGGCTTGTTGGTTGGTAGAAGGAACTTATCTTTCAAGTCAGCTTCTAAACCAGCATGGCTTTTCCTAATTCCTTGCTGAAATTTTCTTAGCCTATGACAGAATCTAAATATAAAAATTTACAGACTACACTGGTTAACATTGTTACGCTCTTTAAAGGGCCTGAATAAGTTATGTGTGCATTATACATGGAAATATTACATGGATTTCTGAGATCCCCACGAGTGATAAATACAATCACAACTCCCTCTGCTGGCAAAGCAGCAGAGCTCAGAGGAGTGTGTGGTCCCTGCCTGAATCTGGCTGCAGATTGAGAAAAGCCTCTTGCACTAATTTTGGATGTTAATTTACCTCATTCAGCCACAATATGTCATGTATGTCATTCCTGTGATGTACAGTTCTGCTGCTGACAGAGAATGTGAAAGCCTGGCTGGAGACAATGACTTGCTTGATCTTAGGTATAAATTAATTATCATAAAAGATGGTGCTTTAAACAGAACTCTATGCAGAGTTAACGTGAGAAAAGTCTCTCACTTCTAGTCAAACACCAGAATTTGTCAAACATTTCCACAACCACCATCCTTAATTTGTTAAACCAGAATAAGAGAGGAAAAAGCAAAGAGAGACATGAGGGTTAAAACATTTTTGAGTTATTTTTTGGAAGATCATTAGTTTAATTTTAACAGGAATTTTTAAAGGCAATTTCAATAATGCATCGCTGCAGGCCCTGATCAATTGTTTTAACCAAACTGGTTTTAAACACGTTTTTATCTTCAATGAACTTCTCAAAGAGAGAGACACCACCACCAACCCCAAAATAATGCACTTTGCTTGCCAAATACACACGGCCATTTGCATCCAGGAGCTGAGCCAGTGTGTCATGCAAAGCACTGTAGTAGTCAGGGTTATAGATGGTCTCAGAGGTGAGAATTATATCATACTTCAAACAGGGTTTGCTGTTTGACAGGAGCTGGCTGACTTGAGACCAGTCTCCAGAAAAAAATCTGCATCTGCTGAGCACATCAGGTGAGCTCTCTGCTTTCCTGGGCCTCTTTGAAGGAGGCTTGCTGGCTTTTCTGTCCTTCCCACCCCTGCCTTCACTGATACAGTTGGCCACCACGTTAGGCAAGGTTATTTCATCAATCACTGTGCTGTTGTAGTCCTGAAAATGGACTCTGGCAGCTTCACCCTGCAAAGCAACAATTCCCAACAATCCAGCCCCACAGCCAAGATCCAGTACAGTCTTGTTGGTAAATTCTATCTCAGCCTCAGTCAAGTAGTCCATGAGATCAAAGGTGCATTCCCAGATTTTCAGCCCTCCTTCATAGACTCCTGGGATGAGATCAGAGTGAGAAGAAACGCTTTTGGACACGATGCCTTCGCTGTCAGCATCACCTGAACACGTCCTTTCCACCACAGACAGCTTTACATGAGACAGGCCCAGTACTGTTTCCATGACTTTATTTTCCAATACTTTGTTGAGATCTTGGGGAATGCTGTGCTCCTTGGCAGCTTTCACACAGAGGTTTTTCTTCAAAGCTGCCTCATCCTGGTGCTTGGCAGCAGCCAGCTTGGGGCTGGGCTTTGCTGCAAGATCAGCACTTTCCCTGCTCTTTTCTGTAGATTCCTGCTTCTGTTCTGGAGAGCACAGCAATAAGAAGTGAGCATCTGCCTCGCTGTTCTCATTTTCATCAACAGCAAAATTAAACTGAAAATCCATTTTCAGGAATTACGATTTTTAAAAGCTTAATTTATTACAGCCAAGCTTTTATGAAGGTATTGTTGCAGGACCGAGTATTTCACTGGTGCAGTATCAGAGGTGCAGTATCAGATGTCTTGCCAAGAGCCAGGTGAACTGCTGCAGGAAATAAGAGTCAATAGTTTTATGTGTCATTAATATCAGCAAAAATCTAGTTTGTCTAGTTGTAGCATCCTGATTTTCATTACCAGGCTTCCCTGGAAAGCCGTGGAGTCTCCCTCTCTGCAAACATTCCAAATCCACCCGGATGCATAAGAGACGCTGCCTTGGCAGGGCGGTTGGACCGGCTGATCTCCAAGGCTCCCGTTCAACCCTAACTATTCTGAAATTTTAAAAACGGCTCTCTAACCCTTAATTTTATTAAAACACAGCGTCACAGCTGACCCCATCCCACATACCAAGCAAGGGAATTAGGACAGCTGCCAGCTCGCGTTTCAGACTCCGCGTTTCAAGGGGCGCAAACCGAAAGCTCGGTGCTGCCGCGTAGGCGGAGTTCGGGGCTCCGGGAGCGTTTCCCACCCCGCTTTCCCCACGTCGTGCCCGCACCCACCCGCGGCCGCCGCTCTCTCCGGGCCACGCTCCGCCATCCCCGCCGCTCCCTCACGGAGCCGCTTCCGGTTCCTCGGGCGGGCGCGGGGCTTTGTGGGAGCGCGGGCGCCGCTGCCCCGCGCTGAGGGGAGCGCGGCCGCCGCCATGTCCCAGGCGGACCCCGAGCAGCTCCTGCGGGAGCTGGACGGCTGGGACTGGGAGCTGTGCCGCCGGGAGCTGCCCGCCGTGCTGCCCCGGCTCCTGATATCCTTCCCAGCGGGGCTCAGGGTGGCTGTGGGAAAGGCACACGAGTGGTGTTGGAGGGGGGGTTTGCTTCTTTCGGAGTTCTACGGTTCGAGAATGTGTGTGAGGGAGAGCGGTGAGACCTTTGTGAGGGGCTGGGTACCGGGAGTTTCGCTGGAGACGGGTACAGCCTTTCCCTGGAATAAAAGATTTATAGAATCTAGAACATCGCGTGTGGTTCATTTAGCACTTTAGGTAATCCCCCACACACCTCTCATCTACCCCTCAGAAAACAAAAGTCCAACTCCCTAAAAAAACCCAAACCACACACCACCGGAAAAATATCCCAAAAAACCAATCCCTCAAGGCTTACTCTGTAATACATTTTGGAAATACTTTGTTGATCCTGTGGATACTCCAGGCTATCAGCCTACGTTGGTTGTGGAGCATCCCCACCAATTTCAATAGAAATCACTGTGGCTTCTGCAGATGCTTTAAAGATAGCCTTTATAGCAGAATAAGTTTGATTTTCTTTAACGTTTCTACTCAATGTATGCAGAGTCTGAGGACTGGACTGAGCATATTCGTAAGTAAAGGCTAAGAAATGCCTCTTCCTTTGGAGCCCTGTATTGCAATTGCATTAAAATTAAAATCACTGCAGTGCTTAAAATGCTTCTGCTACAACTTTTCGGAGCCTTCAGCAATCCTGCTGGACCTTGTATATTCCACTAACTGCACATTGAATAAGCTTTATAAATGCCCTTATAGAAACTCTGCATCTCAGGCTGCTTTTTCCTTTCTGCTACTTCTGATCTTTAAATACACAAAAAAAAGTGTTTCTTATCTAGTGTTTTGTTGTCTTTTGGGCTGTTATCTTCCCGGTGACAAAGCTAATAGTTTAAAGAAAATTAGGCTTATTTGTAACTGTTTATGAGTGTTGCTAAAGTTGTTACATTGCATATTATGTTGCATTATAAAACTTGCTACTGTTTGCAGTTTGGAATGTGGCAAATTGTGGATCTGCGGGCTTGGCAGTTGTGCTCAGCCTTCAGCTGAGTTTAGTCAGGTGTGCTGCTATTTTTGATGGGTTTGTGCATGTTGGAGCTATTACAGTTCCTTGAGTTTTCAGATCATGTCTGTGTGTTTTCCTGCATTTCAGATAAGGCAAACGTTCTGTTGCCTGTCTCAAAATCAAGTACCTGATTTGTTTTTGCTTTCTGCAGTTCTTTATTTCCTCTGGTAGGTTGCTGTATTTTTCTGAGAGTTACACATTGGAAATGTTTTTCTTTGCAGGTATTTTGAGGATCCTGACTGAAATGTTTTTGCCACATATCAGCCTTGAAGATGTGGAACAAAGTTTTTTCTCAAAAGTATTACCTAAGGTAGGACAACTCCAGTTAACTGTGGAATTTTCTGTCAGTTCAATGTTAGAACCTGCTTAGATTGCAATGATTCTTCTTTGGGGTTGCAAAATATCTATGGGCTACAGAAATTGAAATTTACTCATTAAGAGTTTTCACAGTGTTGTGTTGAATTGTTTCTGTGATTGTTCTTGTTCTTTACAGTAGGGAGAAAATCAAATATGCAATGTTATGCTTTCTATATTCAGCAATAGACTTGGGTTTTATTTCTTTCTGAAAAAATTGGGCTTTTTGTAAAATGACCAAGGTGGAGAATTTTTAAGTGAGGGAGCTTCTCAGGACAAGTAAACTGAAGAGCTCAACACTCCCATATCAAAAATGAATGTTGTGAAATTTGTGAATTAATATAGTGAATAATCTTTTAGACCACACTGACCTCACAATATGTGTTCTTTTTTGATTAATTTTTTTGAGAATTTTGTGCCATAGGTGTGTTAAAATAACTGCTTGCATTTTAAGTGAAGTAAAGAGGTGCCAAATTACTGATTTAAGTTTCAAGACTCAGCTTGTCCATTTTAAGAAGCCAGTAAAAAGCACTTGATTTTCCTTTCTCATATTTTCTCTCAAGTAACAAGTTTTTGAAGATTACAAGAAAATTGTCTCATAATAGGCATATCCTGAAAAAGGATCACTGTTTATCCTGCATGTGCCTCACTGTCTTTGTAGTCTCAAAAGTAACACTCATCCAAAAACCTCAATTAAAGTAGAAATAGATGTTGTCTGTATGTCACAGACATTTTTTTAATGTATTCAAAATGTTAATAATCATTTTCAACAAGCAAATATTTTTTCTGAGACAAAATGAAAATATCTGTTTTAAATTATGTGGTTTTAACTAAGTAAAAATCTTTGGTAGAATAATATAAAATATTATATTTAACATATATGAAATAATATATGATATTATTTATTATGCATTATCTGTATAAATGAAATATATTATTAATGAATAATATATAAGATAGCTAAAATGTCTTCTGTCTATAATATATGCATAAAAATGGTTTTTGCTTCTTGTTATATCATGCTTTATGACTGAAATGCTGCAAAGTGTTTGCTGCTGTGAGTTCTCTCTGTGCCTCCATGCCAAGGCAGCAAGCAGGTGGTGTTATTATTTGTTATTAATTGTTTAATCTTATTATTTATTATTATGTGTACCTTTGGAAGTAAAATGTTTCAATTTTTTTTTGTGTTTTGCCAGACTCTGCAGTTCTTTGATAACTTGATGTGTGAATTATGCAGCAAGGCCAAAGGGCTGACCAGCCAGAGCACAGAGCTGTGCAGTACTGTGAGGAATCTGCTCCAGGCAAGTCCCATCTCATCAACTGTCAAATTAATATTTACATCACTCTTTGCTTTAACCTAAACTGCTAAATTACTAATTACTAAAAAGGTGTTAAGATTTAAAATGTGATTTAATCTTCCTTTGTAGTAGAAGTTCAGTTAACATTTTGTGAATGATTTGATTACATCTGGCATGTGATGCTAATAATAATTTTTAAAAATCATCTGAAATTCTGCTCCAAGTCCCTCCTGCAGGGAGAATGTGCCTCCCCATATTTAAAGAGTGAACCTGGCCCCTGTTTATACATGTCACTTTATTCTGAATTTTAACATTGAGAACCATAGTGAAAGAAACAGGAGTTTTCATGAAGGGGATGGTACGGAGAAAAGGCTATGGAGAAAAACTCTGGAGCTTCATTCATCTTTAACAAACTCATTTATACAAATAGCAACAAGCTTTAACTGCCATAAACCCCAGGTGTATTTCAGCTCAGCAAAGCTGCTTTTGGAGGCATTGCAGGAGTGCTGATGTTGTTGAGTGTTGATCCCAGGTGGTGGTGCAGCTGCTGGAGACGCTGACGGGCTGCGTGCG